CTGTGTTGACTGGCTCCTTGAGTGACGGCCTTCCGGACTGAAGGTTCTTTCGTCTTGGGATCTTCTTCCCTCTCAGCTGCTTTTAACTTGTTGTGTGAGGAGGCCATTCGTCCTAATATTTTACGCACTGGTTAAGCGTTGTGAACATATTGATACAGGATAAAGTGCGTATTAGAATTTTCACCACGTTTTCACAGTCTAAGTAACGTATTTTCAGAAATGTGAGCATTGCGCGATTCAACTTAGTCCTTTCCTGGGAAGTTACTTGTCTAAGAGGCAATAGAAACCAGGTCACATGACCGGAACGGGTCCATTGCCGGATTTACAGCGCAGTATTCTAAACGCAAGCCAACCAATAGTAACTTGACTGTAGAACGCTTGGAAATCATTGTAGCTTTCGGGCATAGATTCACTCCGTAATGGAATCCGGTGTTTAGATTCAAATCATTCTTTCTCGAGCAGTCCACCATCTTTTCTGGCGCAATCATCCTTGGAGTGAAATGGAAATTTTGCAAATCCCTCGACAATCTACAGCGCCCATGGTGCCACCTGACTGGGAAGTCCTGACAGATGTGTCCGCCCATGACAGTTACCGACTGGATCGTCGTTCGTGGCGTCTGGCAAACCAATCACGTTGCTCAAGTGTGTACAGATCTGCCTGTCGACGCCCCATATTTCAGATGTGTTCATTGGTGGATTATTGCTAAGACGCTTGTTTCGCACGTTAGAAGCAGATGCCGGTGCGGCACTGATGATGAGATCTCGTAAAAGCAAAAGTTTAGTCCGATGCTCACCTCTTTCATGTTAAATCACCAGAACAAGTGGGCCAGAATAGTAGGATGGCTGTTCAAACGAGAGTGATGTGATTTCAAACTCTACAAGCTGCATGACCACCTACAAGGGATCCAGATCGATAACTTCTGAACGCCTGTAGGAAAATATCCGCTAGTCCAAAGGTATGCGCTAAGGCTCCCTTCCATGAGAGCCGCTGAATGAAACAGCCAGAACCTGCATACGCATGTCAGCAACAACCAGTGCACTGATTATGTCTCCCCGATCGCTGTCACTACAAATCTGATTCACTCGGCGCGCGAATGGTCGCTTCCTTCATACTGAGAATATGAGAACCGGAGTTTAGAAAGCGGTTTAATTGGGTTGACTTGTGTTACAGTATGGTTTCAGTAAACGCTTTCCGAAAAAAGCTACATCAAGAAAAATTTGTTCCGCCAGTGGCCTCTTCCAACTTCTAATGAGCACAGGTGCACCAGGTGTTGAGACTCGACAGAAGCCAATTCGCACGAATTGTTTACCACAACAAACGTGTCATCAACGTTTCTTGGCCAAACCCATGAATGATTGAGTTTTTGCTAAGAATAAAGTAACCACAATATGATGGAAATAAGGCTAGGAGGCGGCAATTCCTCCGCTTCTAGGAAGCGTTCGATATAACACAGGCCATCCACGACGCGCAAACCTGTATAAACCAAAGAAACAGGAAGAATGACAACGTCACATCATCATCATTATCATCAAGTACTAATTGCTTGGCCCTCCGGACAGTTCAATGAGAACGGAAAGCTTGATAGAATATCTTGCACTGAAGTGGTTGATGCATGTTTGGACCATCTGAACCGACAGTACAAGCGGAGGTCGTATGTTCTCGGTAGTCGATAGCGGACCGGGCTCAGATCTCACTTGTATCACAGTGCCTGTTCAAGGCTTTTATTGGGTTAGGACTTCCTAAGGTCACAGTCAGTGACTTGTGTTTGCTTGCCATTGTGGACTCTCTGCGTATTTATGACACTTTTATGCGTGGCACATGGCGTTGAATGTACATTTTTGCCATTTAATCTCACACCAGACCCAGTATGACGGACACTTTGTGCCTAAGGTGTGAGTCTTGATTGTGTTGGCGCTTACCGCGGCTTGAAGAGCATTCAACATTGTTTGTCATTTTCATGAAGGAAACTACTCACAAGGTTGCTGAAAACTCTTCGGTTGTTGATTTTTAGACGCGTGTATCCATATCGTTGGGATCCATCTCATCTGACTGGAACTGTTGGTGGCATGAATTCTCTCATATTCTCCTGTTACCCTTTCGAATTCGTCGCTTGCATTTACTTTTTACTTTTGTGACCATGCTGTTTAAAAGTAAATGATAATAGTACTAGTGCCAAAAGGTTTACCTCGCATTTGCGATTCCAGAGGTTTGATCCCCGGTACGAACGAAATGTACTAATAGGGGCAGAATCCGAGCTCAGTTCCTCTCCGCTTTGGAGTCAGATAACCAGAAACACGGGGTCAAGAAAGGAGAAGTGATGTGAGTGCGGTTCATAAGCAAAGTAACGCAGCTTGATACAGGATCAGTGGATTACTCCATGGAAGGGAGAGGCACCTTTACGTTAGAGGGGTCAAAGTCCGCTCCAAAACGAGAGGAAATTGGTCCAACAAGTGGTGCAAGTGCAAGCATTTGATAAACAGTTTTCTGAGCCTGAAGGCAGATTCCCTTTAGCCCTTGATGAATCCCCGTGTAACGTCAGAAATAAGCCGCAGATTGCTTTACTGTTCAACACTGGGTTATATCCGAAAACACGACTGCCTGGCACAGCGTACAATGACACATTGACAAGTGCAATCAAAAGGGAACTAACCGAGTTGTTTCCAGCCCATGTTAAAAGTGGTCGAAGGATGTTGGGCTAAAACTGTGGATGCCAATTGTTGTGCTGGGTATAGCAAGCTTTGGTTACTGCCTGGGTGGAAATTTTCAGGAACCACCTCAGTTTTAATCGATGTAACAGTGAACCTCGTTCCACTGTTACCTAGTGCCGTTTCTTGCGAAGTCTGTGAGTGAAGGGATGCCACGTAAAACGGGACCTGAGAAGTGAATAGTAGGCGAAAATGATGTTGAAAACCAGCTTCCTGTTCCAATTTCTCCAATCCTTTTCCAGTTGGAACAACACATACGATGCAACCATCATCATCCCTTGAACAAAGGCTTTTGGTTTCTCCATTTTAAAAAAACCTTCAAGTAGGACATAAGGTGGACGGAAACTCAAGGACTGCGCCTACTTGATGAGCCACAAGAATGGCGAAACCGGTCGTGGGCTGTCCAAGAGTTTTCAGCAACCTTGTGATTAGTTTCCTTTATGAAAATACCTCCTTTCTTCTAATCCAGCCAAAAATCATTTGGACGGTCAACTGGGAGCCATAAATTTGTTTTCTTCTATCGTATTTGGCCGTCGTTTACCAATTAGAGCAACGATGCAATTGACTTGCGCACGACTTTCGTTTCAACAGTCGTCCTCCTCTCCTGTCGCAGTTATTCTCATGAGTTCACACCAAAGAATGGAAACACCGGAATCACGTTTCGAGCCCATCATCAGTGCATACCCTTGGCCTCGCTAGGGTTCGTACATCTGACATGTGAGGCGAGTGTGCTACCAGT